CCCCACCCCGTGAGGCGGTACGGAAGTCTGGGCGTCCGCCCCCCCCCCCCCCACGCGGGGCTGGACCCCCCCTTGCGTGAGGCTTGGGAGCAAGTTTGGGGGTGGGGGTGGGGGGATATCTGTCCCTTTCCCAGGTCCCGGGATGGGGCTGTGATCAGGGAGAGCGGAGTTCTGCCGCATTTCCCACGGAAAGGGCACAAAGGTTGAAATCAGAGCATGCCACTGCTGCTTTCACACCTGAAATAAGATTTCTAAGCCTTAGGTTACCAGGCTGTTCCCTGCCCTCTCTTCCCAACAGATCACACCGTTTGCTCTCAAGAGCTGCATTTCAACCCGCATTTAAAATCTGCTCTGATTTTTCTTAAAACTGCCACCCAAATTCTTTTGCTATAAGCAAATTTACTTTCATTCCCTCTGGGTCATATATCAGCTTGGTATGCACCTTTAAGATATGCCCAAAAAGATGAGAAAACTTAACTGGAGAGGAGATCAGCTCCTGAGTAAATGCAAGCAAACTGGGTCAAATCCTCGCTGCATCTGTGCTTTGATAAAGGATGTCCTTTTGGTCTGGCAGGCTGGGAGAGCTGAGAGAAGAACTGGTGTAAAGGGCTTTCCAGGTCAGAGTTTACTACAATAACCAAAAGCTTTCGATAACATGAGCTGTTTGAAGAGATTTATAACTGAAATCAAGGTTTTATGTGGCCCAGTGAAGGCTAGGCACAGCTTCGTGCAGCTTTTTGGGGGGTTTTGTTTGAAAAGCTTCCCAGTCAAGCTAGGCTAAGCAAAGATGAGCTTCCACTAAGGTGACCTGAGCAGACACAGGAGGTATTTCATAAGCCTTTAAACACTGTTTGCAGTCATATTTGTTTGTTCAACTTTCTCATGCACGGCCCCAGTCTCCTGCAGGACACGTGCAGGGCAGGGCTGACTCATGCCAGGGATGGATTACCCAGCGGGTGATTATTCCAGGCCACCTGGTGGGAACGCCCCTGGAAATGGTCATAGCGAACGATGACTCTTAAAATAGAGAAGGTGAAGCAGAGACCTGCAGTGGTTTTATGTTGAAACACAGCATGAGCCAACCAGGGAACAAACTCTCGCAATCCAAGTGTGAAGCCACGGGGAAGAGTCATTGAGCGTTTCCTTTGGTGGCAATGGGGAAAGGAGGGATTTTCAGGGCTCTCCTGAGCCAGCCACTGCTGGGACGAGGCCACGGCTTCAGCAGGTCACAGCCCCGGCAAGGCGGCCGGCAGCACCGTGATGACTTTGTGCAGGCGCCGAGGCTGCTCCTCCGTCCCGGCACAGTGGAGGAGACCTTGGCTCTCCGGGTGGCATGGGGGAGGCTGGGGGAGCACGGGGCACAGCTGGGCTCCCTGTCCCTGCGGAGACCTTCCCAGGCTTGAGGGGAAGCCCCAGCAGCTCCCTGGGCACCTCCTTGAGGGCCCTGCAAAGCCATTTTTGGGGTGGCTGCGGCACGGCAAGCTCAAATTAAAGGCCAGCGCCTGCACTGACCTGCCTCGCGTGTTTCACATCTCCTCTCAGCCCACAGACGCAACTCATCACACAGCTGCAGCAGCAGGCACAGACCAAGTCACCCCCCCATCACCCCCCAGGCTGCCGGCCTTTTGGAGCCCAGTGCCAGCTATCCTGGCCCTCAGCTGAAAATTCCTCATTCCTAATGCCAGCGTCAGGAGCCAGGCTTCCCACCAGCACAGGAGCACAGCTTTAATGCTGTGAGCAGGGCAGAGGATGACTTATGATCCAGTCAGAAACAAAATATCTTTCTAAATCAGAGTAGCCACAGGAAAAAAATCAAAATTAAAAATAATCAAAAAATTAGCTGTCCTATGTCCCCAGAAACGAGGCAGCGAGACTTGCACATAAACTGTCTTGTTTTCCATAGAAAGGTGGAAGCTCTGGTTGGATTCAGGCCAGGGTAGCTGTGGGGAACTGAAGCTTCTACCTCACCAAGCTGAGGAGCGGCGTTGCTCCACCAGATGAAAGGCTTCCATGTTACTTTCCACTGCTGGGTGATGAATTCCCAGGGAGCATGGCGGGATTGTTTGTAACCATAACAAGTGACAGCATGCCTCTTTGGTGAAGTGAATCATCTTCCCAGGGTGACTCGTCCCCATCTATTTCCACTCACGTAGTGCTGGCCCTGCGGCACGATGCCGTGAGCAACCCCCAGGGGACTGTGGGCATGGGAGAGCGCCGGGGTAGGCAGATACCCCACGAACACAGCATGGCCCCACAGCCCACCCATGGGACCTGCTGTTGAGGAACGCCTCGCCATGCCCTAAGCAGAGAGCAACTTTAATGACATACAGCTGCCAAAATCACCCCCCAGGGCAGGGGGTAGGATCTCAGCTCACCCCGGTTTGCAAACAGCAGCTCTCAGTGAGCACAGGAGTAAGTAACACCTCCGGGTACTGCTCTGTGCTCTGGGCAGCCACCCTGTCACTCTTCAGCGGCTTCATTGCACAACCTGGAACAAATGCAGGAACAAATGCTCCTGACTTTTAAAATGTTATAGCGCAAGACCTACTTGCCTGTTAACAGCTTTAAATAATACCTTCTTAACTCTGTTCAAAGTTAATGCATATATTACACACATTTTAATTACATCTTTAACTGCTAACAATAAGGGTGTACTTATTGTCACAAAACCCTCCTTATCTGGTAGCTGCAATATCTTTATGGAGAGGCAACTTCAAAGCCTCGTCTAATTGCCATACGTCAAAGCCTTTATTTCAGATTATGGCGTGCTCTCCTACGTGTCAGTTAAATGGCCTCATTCAAGAAACTGAAAACATGATGAGGCATTTTTCCTTGAACTGCTTTAGCGGGCAGGCTTTCACACTTTGAACCACTACTTGAACAATACTGACGTATTAAAGTTGAAAAAGAAAACCCTATCAGAGTCCTGTACCAGCAAAGGAATTATGCCCTGACAGTAATTTATTAAGTGGAACATGTACCTTCCAGAATTACAAATAAAGATTAAGTATCAAACAAGACCCTATTGATTCAAAACGTACCACGTATCTTGCACACCACATATTTTTACCCTCAATTATACTGAATTTCCAGAGGGTCACACCAGGACACTTACCAACATTAGGCTGACACTGAAGCCACTTCCCAGATGACCATATTGGGTCTGCAGCCCAACTGTGAACTTCAGCAATACAAAATAACCCGAATGCTTTGCTACTTATTAACTTGTAATTCCAGGAGACCGAGATAAAATATTCTGCCGGATAGTTGTGATAAGGTCACCGAGAGCCCAAAGTTTATTTCATTTGCCCAAAGGAAACTACTTTTATGGTAATGTTGGTGACCTTGGGGCTGGCCCTTCCTGCTCCTCCCACAGACCTTGCCTCGTCACAGTGGATGTTGACAGAGTTGCAATATGGGTAAAAATGATAAAAATTAAGAAACACCCAACACCTTAAAGCCTGGCATGTGGGGAGTGCGTGGGGCCCTTGTCCGGAAAACAGAGCTGTGGTGGCACCTGGGGAGCCTCAGCCTGGAGGTGCCGGTCCCCACACTGCCCTTGCACACCCCAACTCTACCCTCTGCCCATGCTGCCAGTGCTTCCCCGGAGCCGCACGGTCACCTTTGGAGGGACAGACTTATGGGGGTGCTGAACGGGGCAGCAGGGACACCCTGATGGGCCAGGGCTTGGGCAGGCTGGGCCAGCCTCCTGTGCTCTTTGCAGAAGGCGCACAGCAGCGCTGGTGTCCCCAAGCAGTGCTGCTGTCCCCAGCCGGCACACAGACACCACATTTTCCCACAGGAGGAGAAATAAATTTTCAGCATTATTTTCAGGTGCCGAGCAAAGCCCCGGGGGTGACCTCGTGCCCCGCAGGTGCTCCCCCCACGGGGCACCCCGTGAGTCATACTGCCCTTCAAGCCCAGAATAGGCTTCCTCTAGCAGAGCAGAAGGGGATGTGGGCTTACCCGCAGGATCCTCTCTGTCCATCTCTGCCAGCAAAAAAAAGCCGTGGGGCTGCGGCCAAAAGGAAGTGGCTGCGCCCGAGGGGAGAGGAGGAACCTCTATGTTGCTGCCAGACCCTCACAACCCCACTGTCCCCTAGGGACCCTAAGCAGGCGTACAACATGGGGATACATCCCACCCCATCCATCCCTCAGCACTTTCCTGAGAGCGGAAAGATGACAGAGGGCTGAATTGCTGCTCCAGAGGCACCCACCAGCCACAGCCCTTATAACACCCAGCACAGGCTGTCGGCAAAGCTTGGCTGAAGGACCCTCAGGAGGAGCAGGCAGGGCCTGGCAGCACCTACTCGCTGCTCTAAGCTCTTACCCAAAACGGCTTTGGCATTGCCTGCAGCCTCATCACCTGCCTCTTCTCCCCTGGGAGTGGGGAGAGGCTGAGGAGGGGCTTTATTAGGGAAAGTCTCGCAGGTGCTGCTCAGTAGGAGGTGGCATCCCTCACCCAGCATCATTCCGAGTAGGGGCAAAAACCCAACCCAGGTTGGTTTCACCAGCAGCTTCACCCCTCTTGTGCAAGACCAGGACAGCCCTGAACTGGCAGGGTTCATGAGCCCACACTGAGCAGGTTTTATGGCCCAATAAGGAGCAAAGAGTACATGCACAGAAAGTGCAGTAAACAGAGAGATAAAGCGGTGCAGAAAGGAGCGTGAGCTCCCCATGTCCCCACCACAGGTCGCCTTGCTGCTGCCTGTCCCTGCGGAGGGTGGCTCTGCCTGTCCTGCTGATAACGCCTGGGGTGAAGGGGAAAGGGGAGGCTGATAAACAAGCAGTCCCGGGGACAAACACGGCATCAACAAAGGTGGGTCCCTGCAGTTCAGGGTTAGAGGCCCTCATAGGCACCACAAAACATTTGCTTTTTGACGCCAGGGTAGCCAAAGCGAGCCTGTTTTTTTGGGGGGAGCTCTGGGTTTTGATGACTCTGACCCCAAGGCTGCAGCAGCCATCACAAGCCCTTGGCTCACGCTATGCTTCTAGCAAGGTCAGGAGGGAGATTTACAACCCCTATAGCTGTCGCTTTCCCTCCCTCTTTATTAGTTTCCTCCAGAACCTGTCCTGCCCGAGGCTGGCTCATTAGAGACCCAGCGGGGAGAAAGCACTGTACAACCCTGCTATTTCGGGGGGGTCGCACGCCTGCTCCCCAAGTATCTGTGTTTATTAGCAAGCACCAAGGCAGCATGGTGGCACACCTCTCGCTAGCTGCAATTGCTTCAAATCCCTGACTAGCCAAAATAGATTTGTGGTGCCCACTCCTGCGCTTGTCGCACGCACCCTGGAGAGCTGTGGGTGCCTCCCCAGCAAGACCTGGATCTCACTGCTTTCAGCTGTGCCGCATTTTTGGGAGCCCCACCATGTGCTGTGTTTTGTGCCAGCTCCACCTGACCCTGTTTAATTGATTTAGACGGTGTTGAGAGCCATGCACTGGTGCTTCTGGATCTAGATCTGTATGGGTGGCCGTGCAGGCAGGGCAGCAGGGTGCAAGCAGGCAGCGCGGCTGTTCTCAGGAAAGGGAGGGAGGATGAGAAAGTGCCCTGTAAGCACAGGGGAAAAAATCCAAGACACTTAAAGACACCATTTAGCCTGACTTCTTGTTACACCTCCTGCCGTTATACCTGATTGATTGGGGGCCGACAAATGTGTCTCTGGTTGAGGGCTGGCACACGGCAGAGGAGTAAGGGAGGATGGGGGGATGGTTTCCCTGCAAAAGCCATCCCAGTGTGACCAAGCCATCCAGCTGCAGCATCCTCACTCGAGCATCATCTTGGCCAAACTTGTGTGTCCCCTTCCACCACGCAGCATGAGCCAGACCCACGTGCACACACCTTGGGTCACTAACCTGAGACGGCCGTGATGGGGGCACTTGGCCAGGAGTTTGGGGGGCAGTGCTGGGGGCATCACGTACCTTCCCACAGCTGCACTGTGGTGGCTGAGCCAGCGGCCCCCATTAGCTGCGGGCAAACAAACGTGGCTGTCCCAGAGCAGGGCAGTGGCGACAGGGAAGAGAGAAGGGAGAAGTGGATAAAAGCAGATAGCCTGGGGCGATGGATGGTTCAGTGTTTTCTCACAGCGTGACTTTCTGACCATGGTGAAAACAGCACAAAACATGGACATGGTCAAAGCCTCTGTGTCCAGGGTGTCCCACCACCATCACCTTTTGCTGGGGCTTCTGATGCCCACCAGGACTCCTGGTGCCCAACACTGGTGCCCTCCCGAAACTCTCCTCTCCCCACTGCTGCTTCCCAGACCCTTTCACCATCTGCCCCATCCTGACTCTCCTGGTCTTCACCTCTTGCCTGGGGCGGCCCAGGGAGCCTGGTCCTGGCCCAGCACTGCCTGGGGTGGTCCTGGCTGGTGCCCAGGCATGGCAGGCATCCCACAGCAGGTCCCTCCCTGTGGGGAGGGATGCTGGGGTCTGGCAGAGCAGTTGCTCCTCCAGGATGGGGAGGTTGGCTCCGAGGAGCCGGTTTTGCCCCAAGGCAGGAGTTCAAAGTCTCCATGCTGCTTTGTGCTGGGAGATGGAAATGAGGGAAAGGAGGAAATGGCAATTCCTGTTCATGTTCGTGATCGACACAGCTGACTGCTCAGTTTAACCTCCCAGTTGGCCGCAGAGGGACGGATGCACAAACACACACACACGCACACACACATATATTTATAGGCATACTCGCGGCAACTCATTTTGTCCAAGTCCCTGAAGATGTTGCTCTTCATCTTGCTTTCGCTCCTCAATTTCAACCCATCTCTGAGCCTAAAAATCTGCTCCTTCAATGTAAGGTCTTTTGGAGAAACTAAAATAGCCAGACCTGAAGTCGTCGATGCTGTGGTAAAGGTACGTTCATTTGCCTGGATGAGACAGACGTTGAGCTTTGTGAGGATTTCTTAGCTGCATAATCTTGCACTTTATTTATCTTTTCACAGTTGAATTTCAAGAAAAAAAAAAAAAGAATGAATAATTTAAATAATTCTATACTCCTAAAGTAAAAATCAGCCTGTGGTCGAGTAGTATGTTCACTGTTATTTTAGCCTGCACGGGAATATAACAGAAACAACATTTGCTGTTTCCTTTGGAAATGGAGTTAGAAAAGGAGGAAAACCTCTGTGGACAGTAAAAATAATTTTCACTTTGAATCCACAGAGCTTTGTTTTGTGATACATTATTTACCTTGCTTATGTGCTAATTATTCTGAAATATTCTTGTCTAATTAAATGTATTCTCAGGACAGCAGAGAGTATCACATTAGAGTGTGGTACAAAATGGAAAAGCCTGATTACTAATTTATGTAAACAAACCCTCACCCTCAGGTTTCCTCTGCAGCAATTGAAGATAACTCATCTTTTAAAAAGAACCATGTTTTGGACTTACAGCTTTTGTAAGTTCCCTCCGAGATGCCGCAGTAACAGAGGACGCGGTGTTTGGTGTTAGCAGGGTGGCTGTGCGTGCCGAGTGCGTGGGGAATGCCACCTTTTAGTTGGGTTTTAATCCTTTCATTACAAACAGCTGGAGAAGAGGGGTTTGCTGGGGTTTGCATTTCTGGACCATCCTTCCTATACTGTCAGCAATATATACCAAATTATGGGCAATATATTAATTTCTACAAGTTTCAGGGGGCAAAAGGGGGCTTTTTTCGCATGAGTATCACCCACAAATTTCAAAGAGCAACAAAACCGGGGTCAGAAGAAAGCCCCCCGAGCATGCTGGGCTGCGGAGTGAGTTGGGCTTTCCCATGGGGAATCCCAGCGCTGGCCGCAGGAGCTGAGCCAGGCTGGGACAGCCTCCCCCCCTCTCCCAGCACCCTGCGGCTCCTCTGCAGTGCTGCAGCCCACAGGTGCCAGGACCCTGTTTTCAGGCCGGGGGGGCACTTTGGGCTCTACGGGCTATTTCAGAGGGGTCTGCAACAGATGACTGGGACAGGCAAATGCGGACAGCACACACACCTTTCCGAAGGCACGGCAGAGCAGTAGGACCTTGGGGGTATATACACCAGAAAAAGGATGGAAACCATTGCAGTGGATTGATGATAGATGCAAACAGGCTCTCCTCGATGCCCCCCAAATCTCCTGCTACTACCATCTGGACACCCAGTGAGTTGGGATGCTTGCACGCAGCACCGGGCTGAAGCAGAGAAGAAAATCTTCATAGAAAGGGGCAGAGAGGAGAGAAAAGCGCAACCGACCATAGGTGGGAGGGGGGCCAAGGGCTGCACCCCAGCAGTGGCGGGGGGAGAGCGGGCTCGCAGCAGCGGATCTTGTTGCCCCTTCGCCTCCACACTTCCTTCTCAGGAGCAGGCACAGAAGTTTTTCAACAAACCTGAAACTGCTCTGCTCCCGAGTTCCCTCTCCCAGCTCCTGCGGGGGCGTGAGGCAGCTCCGAAAGCAGAAGGGCTTTGCTTCAGCCACTGCCCCCCTCCCGTGACCCCAGGCTGGGCACCGCTTCTTCCACAAAGGACTTCCCCCACATGAGTAACCACTTCTTTCTAGCCTCTTTCTAATCCTCCAAAACCCACCACATGGAAACTTGCTTCTGCTCCTTCCCCTTGCAGATCATTTCTCGCTGTGACATCATGTTGCTGATGGAAATAAAGGAGAACAAGAATCGGGTTTGTCCTCTCCTGGTGGAGAAGCTCACCAGGTAGGGTGCTCCCATGCAAGTAGGCAAATATTGGGAAAGATGCTTGGCAAGAGCCCGTGCTCTGCTCAGCACCACCTTACTGGGCCAAAAGCTCAGGGTCTGGGCTCTGTCCCAGCTGCCGAGGAAGGACCAGGCTCTGGCAGCCTTGCTGAAGGCCACGAAGCCAGCTCCAGACCTCTGTAGGATATGTATTTTAAAATCAAAATAACCAAGTTACATTCAATTTGTTAAAGATTAATTCTCAAAAGAAAACAGAAGGGAGGGACAGGCCCTCATCTGGCTAGCATCGGGCTGCGGCAGGGCAGCTGCCTTTCTGCAGGGTTAGGAATTGCTTTAGATTGGGGATTGCCTGTCTGGACTGAGAGTCCAGAGGAAAGAGCAGCATATGCTTGGCTGGACGTGAGACCCAGCTGAAAGAGGGACAGAGGCCGCGATAAGAAGGAGGGGGTAGAATGAAAATGCCAGCGATGGAGCACAGGTCCAGACCACAGGTCCCGAGAAGGGTTTATTTTCTCTACCTGCCTCTGAGGTCAGGCAGGCAACATCCCATACTCTTGGGCAGAGGCAAAATTATCTCCTCCTCAGTGCCTTGTAAATACAGAAATAAGCTCAGGAACACCACTTTCCTTCCAGTCAGCTGAAGGGGCCGAAGGAGGAATACAGCTGCGTGATCAGCGAGAGGCTGGGACGGAAGAGCTACAAGGAGCAGTACGCCTTCCTCTACAGGTAAGCGAGCTGCCCGTGCCAGCAAGCCAGCCCCTTACTCTGCCCTGCCGTGTCGCAGCCCTGTAGAGACAGACTGGACGTGGTGGTGATGGCTTTGCTCCGAGGGAGCTCCAAGGTGCAGGCTGTGCGGGTGGGATGGGCTGTGCCTGGCCGTGGGGATCGTCCCAGGCGCAGCCACCAGCCTGGCTGTATCCATCCTGGACCATGGCCCAGGGTCCGGGTCGGAGCACGGAGTCGGTGTTAGACACGTCCTGGTGAGCCACGAGCGTGACATCCCCTATCCTGTTTATTCTGCTGCAGGCAACATCTGGTATCGGTGAAACAAACCTACCAGTACCCTGACACCCAGCCTGGGGACCAGGACGCCTTCTCCAGAGAGCCCTTCAACATCTGGTTCCAGTCACCAAAAACCGGTGAGATGTTTCAGAAACAAATTGTTCTCCCACTGACGAGTCTCACAGAGCAAGACAGTGCCGGCTGGCCCCAAGCGCGTGGTGGGGGCAGGCGAAAGGGGCCGCATCCTGACCCCACGCTGCATTTCCTTACAAGAGCAGCATTTGCCTTTGGGGCTGTCGCCTCCAGCATCGCCCGCAGGCCAGCACACGCCGCAGCCCCAGGAAAGCCTCTGCCTCCGCCACGGGCGGTGGGTTGGCAGATGCGCTCCGTGCCGCCGGCACGGCCGCGGGAGCAGCTATTGCGGTGGGTGTCGGGGCAGGGCTTGCCTTGCCCTGACGCAGCACCTCACCGCGTCGCAGCTCAGCCTCGGCTGGGCGGCCAGTGGGGAGCACTGTGCAATTACACAGCAATCGCCTCCGATCCACGGCCAGAACGGAAGCTGTTTCTTCTTCAGAAAAACCTTCTTGCTTCCAAGTCAGTCTCTGTTTCTTTGTGATTCATTGCGTGTTTAACCGTTACATTTTTTCCTGTTCTTTTGCCTTGTTTTTAAGCTGTCAAAGAGTTTGCTGTAATCCCTCTGCACACCACACCGGAGACAGCAGTACGGGAGATTGATGAGCTCTATGATGTGTATTTAGACGTAAAACAGCACTGGAAAACCGAGGTTAGTTGACACATCTATGTTACTAACAGCAGCTTTGGTACTGAGTCACCGGGCATGCTATTCGCTACTCACAGCCTGATAGCCTGAAAACCATTGATAACAAACCCCAGATCTTGAGTATCTTTCTGATGTATTTTAATTGAGTTCTCCACATTTTAATTGGTAAACTTGATCTCCCAATAAAACTGCTGTTTTATCAGCATGCCTCGGTAGCGCGCCCAGCAGAAAGAAGCCCCACTGCACTCAGTAAGAGCTTGCTATCTGAGCTGTATGGGCTATTGGGAGCATCTGTTGACCCTAAAAGTCCTTGCCGGTCTTCTTTTGAAAAGCTGACCTCATGATTACTTTTGAAAACCCTCCTACCTTCCAGAACTTCATCTTCTTGGGGGACTTTAACGCTGGATGTAGCTACGTTCCCCAAAAGCAGTGGAAGAACATCCGGCTGAGGACTTACTCTGAATTCGTCTGGCTAATAGGTGACAAAAATGACACTACGGTGAAGATAAGCACAAGCTGCCCGTATGACAGGTAAAGGGTTCACTGCCAAACCATTCCCTGTTTATGACTTTCTGGGAAAAAAAAAATATATGGAAAGGTGTCAGTGACTGTCAGATAAAGCAAACGTGCATGAGGCCTTGAAAGATAAAACAGTGTCCAGGGGGAAATGAGATCTGAATACTTACAGTCAGGAGCTTAGGTGGAGATAAATGACAGGCAATTATGCAGCACTTCTCATCTGCAGGGAGCCCTGCAGACATCCAGACAGAAGGTGCTGCTGCCTCCTCCGTGCCGGCTTTGCGCCATGGTTTTTGCTCTTGCATTCGTAATTTGGATTGACAAATGCAAAGTCTGGTTCTGCTCAGGAGGTGGGATGGCTCGCCTTCCCCGGCCACGTGGCGAGTCCTGCTGCTACTTGCGGCTCCCTCAGCAGGGACAATAAATACATTGGCTTATTAGAGCCCAGAGTAAGACAATGCTTAAACCTCTTGCAGAACAAGCTTCTGGATCAAAGCAGGACTTCACTAAGACTCCAGTCATTGGTGTCCTATGATTTTTGTATCCATCCAAAGTACGGCTTTGAGCTTTGCAGCACTGTTGGTGTGGGTTTAGGTACAAGTCATTTAATATTGGCTTCCCAGGCCAATGCACACCAAGATATTTAGGTGCCTCACTGCCGAGGAAAGCTATCAGCCAAACTCAGCAGAAAGCAGGTGCTGGCATCACTGAGTAGGCAGGCCACGGCTAAGGACAAACCATACGTAGCTGTGACTCCATCAAGGCCACCTCCCTGGCCACCAGCTCGGTCCAGTGAGGTGGCTGCTGGTCGGGCACCCCGTAACAGCATCCCATTCCCTTGCTCCTTGCAGGATCGTGGTCAGCGGGCAGAAGCTCATCCAGGCCATCATGCCACACTCTGTCAACATCTTTGATTTCCAGAAGGACTTTCAGATGACTGAGGAGCAGGTAGGCACAGCACGGCCTCTCCAGCAGTGGGACAAGGGCTAACAGAGGAGCACAAAGCCTATGGTATCCAGGCAGTTTTGAACATGGTCTTGTCCATAAAACCACTGCATCCTCCCAAAGGGATGCAATGCTCACATTGCACCTCCCCACCGTGGTGGTGAAACCCCCTGGCACAGGGTTTGGAAAGAGCATGGGTGACCAGCTCCCAACCCCTCTGTGCCCTTGTCTTGCAGGCGCTGGGGGTGAGCGACCACTTCCCAGTAGAGTTTGAGTTAAAACCAAAAGGCGGCTTCTTCAACTGGCTGAAATCACAGTTTTCAAAGAAGAGGAGACCAAGAAAGAGCCGCCACTCAAGCTCATGAGCATGCTGAGTCATGGCGTGGAAATGCACGGATGCCAATAGATCTTGTAGAAGACTAGTGTAGATATACTCGCAGCAAGTGCAATATTTAGTGGAAAAACCCCAATTATTTTGTTAAAGTTCAAGTATTTTGGGTAAGAAGGCAAATTTTACCTTCAGGTTATCTTCTTCATTGTATGCAAAAATGAATCAGCTAGAAGCACCGTACTATACTTACTGCACTGATCACAAATGTAAGGAGCTACTGCAAGGGTAAAATACTTGTGTGTGCTTTGTCTGTAACACCTGAAGGGCAGGGATCTCCACACATTCCTGTGGGCTCTGGACCTCTGCCATTCCTCTGCAGGGGCAGGAGGATTAAAAGAACCTTTCTGCATCGTGTGTGTGTGTGCATGCTTCAGAGCTGCAACTGGCAGGACACAGGTCTGCGGTGATTTGCAATGTAAAACGTTGCTGAACTTAATTTGCTCGGTGTGGGTTTGAAACTGCTTACAGCATCAAGGGCTTGGGGAAGGACAGAAATTAAAGGCAGAGGGACAGGCGGTGAGAGCCCCTTTTCTGCACTAACCCAGCCAGGAGCAGCAGGAAGAGAGCGCCGGTGGTTCTCACCTCTGCCTGCCTGCAAACCTCAGGTGAGAAGTCCTGCGGATCCCAGGTGACAGCGCTGCCAACAGAGAGTGTCATAAAAGTTACATTAAAATCTGATTTCAGCATCCTGACGTGGAAGTGAGCTGCATCTCCTCCTGCAAAAAACCTCCATGGCAGCCTAAAGTTCTCCAACGAACCAGACTTTAACGACGGTTATTTAACATAGTGGTGCAGCGATACGTTTTCTCAGCTCAGCCCACAGGCTGTATTTAGTGCAAACCAAACCCTGTCACACAGATGGCATCTGCAAAGTGAGAATAATCCAACTGTTCGTAGAGGTAAATATTCATCTCCCTTCTTCAACGCTCCCCGATTTGGCTGCTGACATGGCAGGGAGGACTAGCGAACGAGATGATAGGCTTTTAGGGGAGGAAAATAGTTTGGCCTTTGCAAAACTCACTGTCTGGGGAGAAAGAATTTGAGGAAAGAAACTAAACTGAGAGATTATCATCCCGGGGGAGGGGCATGCAGGGCAGGCAACAAATCCTCTGACTTTCAGTAGCAATTCATCTTGAAACGATACAGCATTTCATAAGCTCCCTTGGTTATACTCCAGTCAAGGCAAAAGGAAAGAGCCTGATTTAGAACAAATATTTACACTGGGATTTTTATAGAAATGCCACTGTCTGGCTGACAGCAGCGATGGTTCATGTGAAGGTTGAAATCAGTCTAAGTATCTGGCCTCATGTCTTAGTTCTACATAAGTCCCTACTCTTTCCTGGCTTTCAGAAAGCAGCAGTGCACAAAGGAATAAATCACACTCCGGGAAAGAAATAATGGATAAATTTAATCATGAAAAATATGTAATTACGACTAAGTTTTACTGAAAATCTTTGTCCTTCTTTGTGACATTAAATATAATCCTTTACCCAACATTTGAAGCTAAGAGATGTGGCCAGAGAGTAGCTGCTGCAGCAGCTGCAGCCTCGGGCATGATGTTAGTGGCTGTCAGTCTAGAGATGCTATTGCAGAGAGAATGAGCGTTTGACCAGCAGAGAGACATCTTAATGCAAAATCATGCTCCTCTGTGGAGAGCTGGGATGCACTTTTGTGGGACTCAAAGCAGACAGACAGCATCTGTGGCTGGTTCATAATGTTTGATAGGGGCTGGAAGGTGTCCAAACCTCATACAGTCAGCACAGTCGGTCTCTATAGATATTCCTGTGTTTATTCCATGCATTCATTAGACAATATTATAATTACATCCTGAAATGCTTAACAGTTCATGTCATCTCTAGATTTCCCCCCCCGGGGATCATTACCCAGCTGTCCCAGCTGCAAAGGGGTTTTTAAGTTGTCCCAGCCTGCACGAGCCTCAATGTATTCTGCAGCCAGAACAAAGTTTCTCTTTCAATCAATGAGGCTTCTTGAGCTTGATTTACGATCAGACAGAAGTTTTACACTGGGAATCCAAAATGGCCTGAAGAGACTTTGTCTCATGCAAGCCAGGTCTCAGATCATGGCAGGGAGAGAAACAAAGAGGCTCTTCAGAAGCTGAAAACTCTGTTTCCTCCACAGCAGCCCTGGCCAGGTGAGAACAGAGAGCAGATAGGGTTCAGCTGAACAAAAAGTGCTGAGACACCCCAAACCCTCAGGTTTGGCTCCTTGGGAAGCCCTTCTCCAATGCATGATGCTGGAGGCATCCTCGCTTCCCACAGACCTGAGGTCTCCACCACCCCACAGAGACCCCCCTCCCCAGCCCCACGGGAGGTCCCTGCTGCCCTGCACCGGGGATGGGGCCAGGGCTGCCCCTCGTCCTGCAGAACCCCAGGTAAGTATGGGTTTTGCTGCCCTGGGGGAGCGAGTCCCTTGGCAGGGAAACCCCCAGGAACCCACCGCAGCAGCCTGGGGCAGGACTGCCATTTCTCCATAGCCTCCATCATCTCCACCTGCACCTTGGACTCATCTGAACAGGGCTCGTGTCCTCTTCCTGGCCCTGGCAGTGCTCCCCACTAACCCTGGAGGGCCCCGACACCTCTGTGCCTGTGCCACAAGATGAGAGACCCTTTGGACCCAGGCAAGGCCCTACATACCTCCTTTTGCCTCCTTTTAGGTACTGGCAGCAATGAGGACACAGGAGAGCTAGTACAAAACCCCACAGGGACCCACCTGGCTTGTTTGTTTGGGGTCTGTACATCCCCAGACACAGACTGGTGGAGCATGCACTGTGATTGAACATGCAGCATTACGGGAACATTAAAAAATTATATATAAACCATCATCAATCAAACATGCTGGGATGTGCCATTTAACAAACTGCACAGAAGGACAGGGGTCAGCAGGACCAGGGACTGTCCCCTCTGCATCACAGCAAGTGTCCCCAGCTCTTAAGCCCTTTGGCGTGGCAATACCCACGTGTACCACAACGTCTCTTATTTAGGTTTACATCTACGTTCGTTTTGCCTTCCTGAAAGTTTAACTGTGCACAAATAAACACAGACACAAGCAATTCAAGCCTCAACACCCTCCAAAGCTCCCACTGCTTCCTCGCCATGTGGGCAATGGGTGAACAGAAGCAGGTGCCAAAGCCGCCACTGACGGGGTTTGGGCTGGGACCTGTACGCATCCTGTATCTGGACATACAGATGTACACGTCTACAGGTGTACGACCACTTGCAGGTGTGCAGCAAGCAATTGAGCTGCAGCCCCGAGAAAGGCTGTGTTGCACTATCGCACTGCAGGACCAGTAGCACTGACAGCAATATCAAAGACAGAAAAATTAAAGAGTCTACCAGCATGGGACTACCAAAAGCAGCAGTTGGTCCGAGTCTGGCTGTTTCACGGCTCCCTGGGCATCTGGAGGGATCGTGGGGAGAAGCTCGGTGCCCCAGGCTGGACTTGGCCACTCACTGATGGAGCATCTGCTGCGGAAAAGGACCGAGAGCAGAGCAGGGACTCCCTGGGCAGTGCTCGCATGGCACCCGCGGGGACCTTGTTTTCAATCTCCCTGCAGCGGAGTGCTCGGTGGTCCCTGGTAGGGCTTTTCTCTGCCAAGCAAGCCAAGGAGATAGAGAGCAGAAGCTGAAGACAGCAGTCATCTTTTCCCAGCCTTTATTCAAAACGGAAAACAATGTGAAAATTCACTGTTTTGTTTTGTTTTTTTCCCTCCACCTATGGGTCATTAAAAGTATTTCCACAACCTCTGTCAGCCCCTTGCCCAGGATAACGCAGGTTTCTCCCTCTGCAAGGGCATCCAGCCACCCCGCCGTGCGGGGCCGCGCACGCATTAAATATTATTAGGGCCCCCTCTGGTGGCACCGCTATAAATCCAGCATCGGGCCGGGGGGGGGGATGTCCCCACCGTATTTAGACGCAGACGCCCCAGCACAGCCGGCAAACCCAGCTCCGGCAAGGAAACACTACTCCAGCCTTGGCTGGGAGCTCTTGGATGTGCGTTCCCGTACACGTCTCTAGACAAACCTTTTCTTATTCACTGTCGAGAGCCAGCCCGCAGCTCACCCCGAAGCATCCCTGGTCTCGCTGTGTCTGTAAATGAGTTTTGCAACAAAAAAGGTAGCACGTTTTTTTTGCTCCAGGCCTGTTTATTCATTGCCCACAGTTGTAGGAAACACGCTGCTATGACCTTTACGAAATTGTCCTGCTTGCAGGCGGCAGCTCCCAGGACCAGGTAGGTGCTGGCAGGTTACGGGGCACATCCACCGGGGGACTCCTTGGTGTCCCTTGCCATACCTGCACCAAGAGCATCAGGGCAGCTGGTTTAGCCCACCAGCAATCACAGCCTTTCCAGTCTGCTTGACCCCTCGGGACCTCTTTCAGCAACTCCGCTTCTCCCCTTGGTGGTTTGTACCTGGTTTTAGGAGCGTCGCGAGGCCGCTCCAGCACCAGCGCGACCATCCCCTCTGTGCCGTGCCCGCCTGCGGCAAATGCCGCCGACCCCCTTCTCCGGTGCTGGGGGAAACTGCAATTTGGGTCAGGGGCTCTTTCTGCAACCCCCGGGGCCAGATTTATCCCACGTTCCTCTCCACCGTCCCAAGGGTTAAGCGACACCACCTCTCCACTATCACCTGGTATAAAACTATGAACGCCCTTTCTGTGCGCTCTGGTTTTCTAGCTGGTGCGAAAAACAAGGTTAAATACATTAAAATGTGTCATTTTAAATGTAGTGCCTCAGCTGTTAGTGTTTGCAGGGTATTTTCTGTTAGTCAGGAGACAGATTTATAGGAATTAATTTCCATATTGGCAAAGTAACCAGAAACTTCCCTGAAAAATTCTGCAAATGCTGGCATTTGAGACGTGCCCACTTTCTGTGCGTCGCAGCTGGGAGGAGGGCCTGACCCCAGCCATTTTCAGTGAAGCCAGATGCAAAATCTCACCCTCCCCCCCCAAAATACCCTAGCAGGACGTCACTGTCAGAAAGAAATACCCTCCCAGCAAGGCCAGCTCTTCCACAGGGCTCAGAGGATTCACAGACTTCCAGCTAAGCATGGATGTAAATATTTGCAGTACCAAGGTCCTGCAGAAAGGCAGTTCATCACAGAAAAGAGCTGTCAAACATACCTCTAGGTCCCACTAAATTATATTTTGCCTATCAATTTTTTTTTATAAATCACATATATTAGCCTTTCATTCATGTTATATAGAGAACGTGCTTTAAATCCTAGCCAAATTAATAGTGACATGAGCTATAAATCCAGCCTGATTTAGTGACAATGTTTTTTCTAAGTGTGCAATATAAAT